TCATAGAATTTATAAATTTCTGAACTTTTAAAATTTAGGAATATCGAAATATTTTGGAATTTTCAATTTTTTAGAATTTTAGATTTCTGAATTTCTGATATTCCGAATTTCCGAATTTCTGAATCTCAGAACTTCAGCTTCAGCACTTCCGAATAAAGGCCCGGATTAAAAGTATGGCTAAAACGGAGAATGAAAAATCAGCTGGAGAATGAAGGAACAACAAGAAAAATCACCGTAAAACCTGTATTAAAAGGGCGGACCCTTCCATTGTTCCAAGGTACCTCCGGAGGGCCCTTCTATTAGAGGGGCCCTTTAATTAGAGAGCGCTTTTCTATTTTCCGGCCAGTTTTTTTCCGAAAATTTGCATCAAAAAATTCAACGAAGTTTCGTTCGAAATTCATGAAAATCTGCCAATTTCACCAAAATTTAGCAAGAATTTCATCGAAAAATAGAGTTTCAACAAATTTCTATTGAAATGTAAAGTTTCCGAAATATTTTCCACTGAAAAGTACGGAAAATTTCTGATTTTAGTTTCACAGGGGGGGCCCTTCTATTACAGGGTGCACTTCTATTTTTCCAAGCCCCTCTCGGAGGGCCCTTCTATTAAAGGGGCTCTTCTAATACCGGTTTTACGGTACGAGTGTTCAAAACTCAAAATGTTCAGAATTTTCTAGAAGTACTGATATTCAAAAAGTGTCGAAAAATTTGAAAATTCCAGAATTTCTTCAAAAAAATTCCAAAAAAGTGAAATTTCTGAAAAATTGAAAATTCGTGAATATTTTTTCAAAAATTCAGAGTTTCCAGAAAATAAAAAATGCTGGAATTTCTTCAATTTTGTGATTTCCTGAAAAATAAACACCAAAGTGTTCATTTTTGAAATTCTTTAAAAAAAGAATTTTCAGAAAATTTAATATCAAGATTTCCGGAAAATAAAAAGTTAAAAAAAATGCATAATTCCAAAAATCCATAATTTTTTGTTTCTGAATTTTAGAAATTCCGAATTTCGGAAATCTAAAAAATGAAAAATTTGGAAAATTTCAAAAATTCGGCAAAAATCCAAAGTTCCAGAAAACAAAAACAAATTTCGAGTTCTTGAAAGTTTCAAAATAACAGAATTCACAAAAAAATTCAAAACAATCAAAGTTTCGAAACTTTGAATTTGAGTAAATTTACTTGAATCGTGAGATTTGGGAATTGGAGAATGTCAAAAAATTCCAAAAATCGCAAACTTCGACAGTTCTGAAGTTCTGTAAATCCTAGAAAATTCGAAACATTCACAGGGTTCTGTTAATTATTTTTATTAAAAGGGCCCTTTTAATACAGGTTTTAAAGGATACAAAAAACTGAAATTTTCAAAAATTTTCAATTATGCTGCTAAAATTTCAAAATTTCAAAAGTGTCCAAAAATGGTCATGTTTAGGTTCAAAATGTTGCAATTTGTACGACAAACATGAAAATAAACATTATTTTTGATTAGTACATACAATTTCCAACATTTTGAACCCAAACTTTTTCATTTTTAGACAATTTTGAATCTTGAGATTTTTATTTTTTATTTTTTGCAAATAAAAAGCGCCAAAGTAATAAGGAACATCCCCTGGTTTTTCCAGACAACTGGAAGAACTGGGAGACAGAAAAATGAGAAGAAGAAGAGGAAAAACTTCTTCTTCTTCTTCTTTTTTTCTCCAGCTGGAGAAAAAAGAAACGAAGTGAAAAAGAGGAAAAGTGACTTTTCTTTTTCTTCCTGGAAAAAAAAACGAAGAAGAATATGTGTCCTTTTTCCCTGGGGACAAAGTCCCCAGGAAAAAAAAAGACACTTTTTATATTGACGCGTCTCCATTAGAACAGGAAGAAATGGGAAGAAGAAGAGGAGGAAGGAAAGGACAGACACGAAAGTCTACGGAGTTTTCTTGAAGCGAGATTCTGACGGAAAATCGCGCGATTGCGACCCAATGCGCGCTACTTGACGAGCATTTATTTTTTTTTTTAGTATACACTAAATTTCTTCAATGTTAGGCAACTATTCCCGACTTTTTTTAGTTATTCTGTCATTCCATGATGTCGCCGCATGAAAACAGAAAAAAAACGAAAACGAACTTATGGGAATCGAACCCGCGATGCGCGACTGATAGACAAGCGCGCTCACCTCTACACCACACAGGGCTTTTCGGCTTCTGCCGCTAAAACGATTATGAAACGAGGAGTGGGTGCCGCTTGGAAGAACGGTCGCGTTTTCGCTTGTACAATAACAGGGAGTTATGGTTTGGTGTCCCTTGTTATTTTCTGACTGTACGGTGTCATATATCAAAAAACTAGACTTTTGAAAGTTTTCATGTCTGGCCTCCTTTAAGAAGAGGAATTTTTTCCCCTGGCGGTAGAGTAACGTGTCGACACGGTTGTCGAGCGATTTTGAGTCAAAATGTCGTTTTGAAGGAGCCGAGAGCGATATCGTGTCGACAAAAGTCGACACGATTTTTCAGTTATTTTTTTTCTTTTAAAGGTGGGGGGACAGGAGATTTTTCGTAGTTTTTTTTGTAGCTAGAGTATCCATTCTAACGTGACGGTGTACAACGCTTAATGTCACTCTGCGAACAGCTGTCGTCCTCGCCTTCATGTATGCAATCGGGCGTGCGCTTTCTCTTTGCCCGCGTGGCTCAGTCGTGGCTCAGTAGCGGCGCCGCACCCTCAATCATCGTCCTCACAAGTTCAACTCCTCGAGGGGCATCTTTGAACGGAATTTCGAGAACATTATTTTTTTCATGTCCCCCCACCTTTAATCGACACGAGTCTCTGTCTACACGTTACTCTATTCATAAGGAGTGATTATAGTTGGAGAAATGGAACTTTCAAAACTCGAAAAATTGAAAATTTGGAAAGTTTACAATGTTTCGAATTTTCTAGGATTTACAGAACTTCAGAACTGTCGAAGTTTGCGATTTTTGGAAATTTTTTGACGTTCTCCAATTGCCAAATCTCACGATTTCAAGTAAATTTACTCAAATTCAAAGTTTCGAAACTTTGATTGTGTTGAATTTTTTGTGAATTCTGTTATTTTGAAACTTTCAAGAACTCGAAATTTGTTTTTGTTTTCTGGAACTTTGGATTTTTGCCGAATTTTTGAAATTTTCCAAATTTTTCATTTTTTAGATTTCCGAAATTCGGAATTTCTAAAATTCAGAAACAAAAAATTATGGATTTTTGGAATTATGCATTTTTTTAAACATTTTATTTTCCGGAAATCTTGATATTAAATTTTCTGAAATTTCTTTTTTTAAGAATTCCAAAAATGAACACTTTGGTGTTTATTTTTCAGGAAATCAAAATTCAAGAAATTCCTGCATTTTTTATTTTCTGGAATTTTTGAAAAATTCCGGATTACTGTAGCTTCCAAAAAGTCCGCAAACACCGGCAAAACGACCTTTAGGACTATTTTAAACGCCAAATTCGTTTTTCCCATACTCAAATTAGACTAAACTCGCGAGAACAGCTCAAAATCTCGAATTTCCAATAATTCGGTGTTTGCGTACTTTCCAATCTACAGTAATCCCGAAAATTTCAAGATAACGCTAGAAACGCCTAGTTTTCAGTGTCTGGACTCATTTTTTGTGGGAAATTCAAATTTAGCGCCGAAATTTTCGAATTTGAAGCTTTTAGCTCAGAAATTGCGTATTTTCAAAACTACAGTAACCAAAAATTTTTTCTAAAATTCGGTTTGATGCTTTTCACGAGCAGATTCGTGTTTCCCACCCCAGAATTAGTCTGGATTCCAATTTTCAGCCCGATATTCGATATTCGGTGTTTGCGTACTTTTCAGAGCTACAGTAATCCAAAATTTGGCTAGGAAATCGGTTACAAACTCAAATCATTTAATTTTTCTCGTTAGATTCGTGTTTTGCACAACAAGTAAAGCTAAAAACTGGAAACTAGACGTTTCTAGCTCAATTTTGGTTTTTCGCGGATTACTGTAGCTCCAAAAAGTCCGCAAACACCGGCAAACGACCTTTCGGATTATTTTAAACGCCAAATTCGTTTTTCCCATAGCCAAATTGGTCTAAAATCGCGAAATAAGCGCAAAACCTCGATTTTTGTGAAATTCGGTGTTTGCGTATTTTCCAGGCTACAGTAACCCAGAAAGTTTTAAAATAATGCTAGAAACGTCTAATTGTCAGCGCCTAGAACCAAATTTCGCGGGGAATCCCGAATATGAAAACTATTTTCAGACATTTTCTGAATTTTTGAAAAAATGTTTGGATTTTGAATTTTTCCATTAATTCACGAATTTTCAATTTTTCAGAAATTTCACTTTTTTGGGATTTTTTTTTGAAGAAATTCTGGAATTTTCAAATTTTTCGAGACTTTTTGAATATCAGTACTTCTAGAAAATTCTGAACATTTTGAGTTTTGAACACTCGTACCGTAAAACCGGTATTAGAAGAGCCCCTTTAATAGAAGGGCCCTCCGAGAGGGGCTTGGAAAAATAGAAGGACACCCCCTATTCAAAAAAAAACGAAAAAAATAAGAAAAATGTTGCAACACACATTTTTCTAATCAACTTTTTTCAAATTTTTTCTTTTTGCAGTTCTTAAAAGTTTCTCTTTTTTTTTGCAAAAAAAAAATTGAAAAAAAAATACTGGAGAATAAAAACATACTTAATGAATTCTGTCGTCAATTCTCCCAGTTTTTTGGCTCCTTTTAGCTATTTTGGCTCCTTTTTGTGCTCCAAATTGACGTCAGAATTTTTTTTTTGGGTGGTCCAGAATTCCAGATTCTTCAATTTTCAGATTGTCGAGAATTTTAACTGTCGTACTTCCGAAATTTCAGGAATTTCAGAATTAATTTTTTTTTTCAAATTTTCAAAATAAACCTTTAACATGGACATTTATTATTAGTATTTCAACACACTTGTCGTCAGGATATCAGAATGGATTTTACAAAAAAAAATGAAAAAAATCAATTTTATCGATTTTTTAGATCACTTTGATTCAGCAGAAGACGCAGATCTAAGAGCGTGCTGACGCCAAATTGTACAGACGACCGTCAAAAACATACAGCGGCGACGAGGCGCTGTACTGGATCTGTGGGTACGGGTACTCTCTGAAAAATTATAAAATTTGAATTTGGGAAGCCAAGAGCTTCAGAATGAGTCCAAACACAATATGTTTTAGTTGATTTTGAATTTTTCAAAGTTTTTGATTGATCACAACTTTTTCAAAAATCAATATTTTCGAAATTGACTTGAAGATTTGAATTTAACAACTTACTAGCTTCAGAATGAGCTTAAACACGACCAATTTCGGTTGATTTTGAAATTTGGAGCATTTTGGAGCAAAAAGAGCACATGTCCTATTTTGCTCAATTTTTGAAATTTTTGTGAAACTTCAACAAGAATCTTGGTCCTGAGCTCCAGTGCTTCAGTTTGATACCCATTTTGCCCTACCTAGTTCAATTTGGAAATTTGGAGCATTTTCAGAGCTCTAAACTGCTCCAAATGCTCGAAAATCAAAGTTTTGAAAACTGACTTTTCAAACGACTTTGCCCCGTTGAGAGCTTCAAAATAAGCCCCATGTCGGCATACCAAGCTCAAAATCGTGTTTTGGAGCATTTTCAGGGCTCGCGGAGCACCTAAAATGCTCCAATACTCAATTCACAATTTGAATTTTCAAGTTTCAAAACGCTAAACAACCGAAAATCTAGAAAAACAATCCCGAAAACCCTCAATTTTCTGGTTTAAACTACCGAAAATCTAGAAAAACCCCAAAAAATGGTATAAAATAGGAAAGAGGTGGTACTAGCTACCTGAAAGCCTGTCCAAACCTTGGGAGCTTTCCACTGCCACTGGCTCCAGCGCCACCGTCGGAGGTGAATCTGAAAATCTGCTGGAAATTTTTGGAAAATTCTGAAAAAAATATTTTTAAGGGTACCTGAACATGGAAGCATGATCAAAAGTACCATCGCGAAGTGGACTACGGTAGGTACGGTAGGCCTGGTAAGGCTGAGCATCGACAGCGATGATGAGAAGAAGAGCGATAGCCAAGAAAGCGACGAAACGCATGATTACCTGAAAACTTTGAATTCGAAATTTCTAGAAAACAAGGGGAATCGAGGAAAAAGAGCTGAAAATCCCAAATCGGAAGCTCAAGGGCTTCAAAATGATACCCATATTGCCTGGGTTCCATTTTTGGAGCATTTTCGGAGCTCCTCGTGCTCTGAGTGGGCTCGCAGAGCCTTGAAAATGCTCCAAAAAGCAAATCCCGGCAATATGGGGCTCAAAATTTTTCTCTTGAGCTCAGGAATTCCACTTTCGCATTTTCAGACGTTTTGTGCTCAATTTGTGAGCCAAAAAGAGCACAATAGATGTCTAATTCTTGCAGTTTTGCCAGATGCATCAGAGATCCATATCAATTTTTTGGGCAATATAATCAGATATGATAAATCACGTGGTTTAGCCACCAGAAAGTTGAAGTTTGGAGCATTTTGGAGTATTGGATCTCTGAAAATGCTCCAAATTTCAAAAATGAGCTAGATATGGCAATATGGGTCGAAGCTCATGAGCTCATGACCACGATTCTGGACAAAAATTTCAGAAATGTTGAATTTTGAGCAAAATAGGAGTTGTGCTCTATCTGATCCAAAATGCTCAAAATTCCAAAATCGAGCTAAATAGGGCAATGTGGGTACCAAATTGAAGCTCAAGAGCTCGGGACCCCGATTCTAGGGGAACACTTCAAAAATATCAAATTTTGAGCAAAATAGGACTAGTGCTCTTTTTGCTCCAAAATGCTCCAAACTCCAAAAATGAGCTGGATAGGGCAATATGGATATCAAATGAAAGCTCATGAGCTCAGGACCTCAACTCTGTTGGAATATTCAAAAAAAATCAAAATTGAGCAAGATAGGACTTGTGTTTTTTTTTTGATTTTCTGAATATCAAAATTTCCTGTGTTTTTTTCTAGATTTTCGGTATTTTAGCGATTTGAAGAGATGAAAATACAATTTTTCCACGTTGAGAGCTTTAAATAAACTCCATATTAACATGTCTATTTTGAAATCGAGTTTTGGAGCATGTTTGGTGCTCCGCGAGCCCTGAAAATGCTCCAAACTCCTATTTTTAACTAGATATACCATTATGGTGCTTATTCTTAAGCTCTTAGCGCGGAAAAATTGTTTAAAACACCGAAATCTTGAAATTTTGAATTTGGAGCGTTTTGGAGCATTTTGGAGCTCTGAAAATGCTCCAAACTTCAAAAATGAGCTAGATATGGCAATTTGGGTATCAAATGAAAGCTCATGAGCTCAGTACTGCGATTCTGATTGAAGATACACTAAAATTTCAAAAATTGAGCGAAATAGGACAAATTGAGCTCTTTTTGCTCCGAAATGGTCCAAAATTTTAAAAGTGAGCTAGATGGGGCATTATGGGTATCAAATTAAAGCACATGTGCTGGTGATCTCAAATCTAAAAGAAAATTATAGAAATTCAGAAATTTGGAAAAGTTAGGACCCTTTCAATTTTTCGAAATTTCTAAAAAAACGAAATTGAAGACACAAGGAGACAAAAAAGTGGGTGTTCAAGTGTCATGGAGTACCCTAGACTAAAGTGGGCGTGGCCTATGGACCACAAGTATTTATACTTTTTTTTCAAAAGAAAAGACGTAAAAAATTGAGTGATTTACGGCGACCTGTCACTTGGATTAGTACTTTTCGTGTTCCGAAAATTTTCTCTTTTTTCCGAATTTCAAGTGGTTTTTTTTAGAATTTTTTGATGTCATTGGTAGTCTAGTCACAAGAATTTTTTAAGACTAAAAAGAAAATTTTTGGTGGGAAAAAATTATTTTTTTTTAATAAATAAAAAAATATCATAAGACGCCAGGTTTCTGAGAAAATGTGACAAAGAAAATTTGTCATTTGATACCTGAGAGAATCAAAAATTCCGAAAAAAAATGGCTCAAAATCCTGGGAAAAAATAACTAGGATCACATGAGAAAATGGGGAAAGTGCAATTTTTTGAAAATTCCAAAAAAAAATCCGTTTTTTACAGAAAAGTCGCAGATTTTCTACAAATTTTCTATCAGATCTGAGGTCCCCAGCTCCTGAGCTTTCATTTGATACCCATATTGACCCATCTAGCTCCTTTTTGCAATTCGGAGCATTTTGGAGCAAAAAGAGCACACGTCATATTTTGCTCAATTTCCACATTTTTTCAGAATGTTCTAGCAGATACAAAGTCCCGAGCTGCTGAGCTTCCGTTTAATACCCATAATGCCCTATTTAGCTCATTTTTGAAATTTGGAGCATTTTGGAGCAAAAAGAGCACATGTTTTATTTTTCTCAATTTTCAGATTTTTCTAGAATTTTCAAGCAGATTTGAAGTTCCGAACTCCTGAGCTTTCGTTTGATACCCATATTGCCCTATTTAGCTCATTTTTGAAATTTGGAGCATTTTGAGAGCTCCAAAATGCTCCGAACTTCAAAATTTTAACAAAACTCCGTTTTATTTAAATTTGTCACGTTACAAGCTGCTAAATGAGCCCTATATTAGCATTCCCAGTCAAAAATTGTGATTTTGAGCATCTTCAGGGATCTCGGAGCACCAATAATGCTCCAAAACTCGATTTCAAGATAGACATATTAATATGGAGCTCATTTTAAAGCTTTCAACGTGACAAATTCAAATTTGCTAGTTTCAAATCGCTAACTACCAGCAATCTAGAAAAAAAAACCTTTAAAATATGCAAAAATAAGTAAAAAGAGCACTATTTTGCTCAAAATTCAAAATTCTCAAAGTTTTAATCTAGTAACAGGGTTTTGGGCTCATGAGCTTTAATTTGGTTTTGATATTGTCCTATCTAGCTCATTTTTGACATTTGGAGCATTTTCAGTGCTCTGCGAGCCCAAAAAAAAGTGCTAAAAGACTAAAAATCTGTGTTTTGCGTCAAAAAGGGACTTTTTGAAAAGTGTGAAAAGCCGAAACAATTTGCATAATTTATGAATTTCCATTCAGAAAAATTTCGAAAAAAAATTTTTCTAAAAAAATTTTTCCAGAATTTCAAAGAGAGCTCACGGAAAGAGCACAATGGGGATTAGGGGAAAAAAGCGGAGCTTAGCTAGCTAACTAATATCACATGGGATTTTTCAATTTCTGACGTTTTTCCGGTTTTTGGGCTGAACATTCTTTTTGTTTCAGATGGATCAGGAAAATTGGAATCTGGAGAAATCCAAAAAAAGGAGGATTTGCAGAAAAAAAAACTAGAAAACAGGAGAAAAAAGATTTCAGACAAAATTCTAGATTTTTGTTAGTTCAAACTAGAAAATTTGAATTTGTCACGTTGAGAGCTTTAAAATAAGCTCCATATTGATATGTCTAGCTTGATTTTGAGTTTTGGAGCATTTTTTAATGCTCCGAGAGCTCCGAAAATGCTCCGAAACATGATTTTGAGCCGGTATGCTATTATGGGGCTGTTTTTGAAGCTCTGATTGTGAAAAAATCAAAGGGAACGGAAAATTATTGAAATTTTGGTTCTGGAGCATTTTGGAGCTCTGAAAATGTTCCAAATTTCAAAAATGAGCTAGATAGGGCAATATGGGTATCAAATTAGAGCCCAAAAGCTTGAAACCCTGATCCTGGTTAAAAATTTCAAAATTGGGCAAAATAGGACTTGTGCTCTTTTTGCCCCAAAATGCTCCAAATTTTTAAAATGAGCTAGATAGGGCAATATGGGTATCAAATGAAAGCTCATGAGCTCAGGACTCCAATTCTGGTTGATATTTTAAAGTTTTTCGAATTTTGAGCAAGATAGGACTAGTTCTCTTTTTGCTCCAAAATGCTCCGAATTGCAAAAAGGAGCTAGATGGGTCAATATGGGTATCAAATAAAAGCTCGTGAGCTTGGGACCCCGATTCTGGTTAGAAGTCTCAAAATTTTCAAAATTTGAGCAAAATAGAGCTAGTGCTCTTTTTTCCTCAAAATGCTCCAAATTGCGAAATTGAGCCAGATAGGGCATTATGGGTATCAAATTAAAGCTGAAAATCTCAAAAACTCAATTCTGATAAAAAATGTGGGCTTTTGAAGATTTGGAAAATGAAAAAATACCAAAAATAATTTTGGGAACATTTATTTTTTTTTAATTTTCTGGAAAGTTCCAGAGCTTTTTATATCCCCAAAAAACTCATCAAAAACCATTCTCGAGAACGAATGACGTTTGTTCTAGAAGAGAAAAGTTCTATGGGAGAAAAAGTCTGAAAATTCTGAAATTCTGAAAATTCATCAGAAATTCCATAGAAGTCAGAAAAGCGGAATGCCTTTCCGAAGAACAAGGAAAAACAATGAGAAGGAGAAGTTAATAAGAAATTGAAATTAGAAATTCTCAATGAGTCTATCCTTTTTTATTATGAAAAACAACAAAAACATTAGAATTTCTTTTAAATTTCAAGGTGGAAGTGAAGCGAAACGTACAAGGAACTATAGTTTTCAGTCATTTTTCAGCATTTTTGAGCTTTAAACCCTCAAAAAATCATCAAGAACGGTCAAAAACGGTCAAAAATGACGAATTTCAAAAAAGTGTGTCAAATGGCTCAGTGGTTTTTTGGCACCAAAATTTACGGTCCACAAGGTCAAAAGTTCGATTTTTTCGGGGGTCAACATTTTTCGATTTTTGCGTGGACCAAGAATATTACATTTTAAGCTCATTTGAGGTCCAGAAAGTGGTTTTTTTTTGGAAATTTAAATTTTAAAAAAATTATTTTTTTGAAATTTTTTGGCTGAAGATACTTTTTTTTTGGTTTTTCAAACTACAAAAAAACGTTTAAAACTATTGAAAAACGCCAAAAAATCAAGAAAAATGGCCAAAAATGATGAATTTCAAAAAAGTGTGCCAAATGGCTCAATGGGTTTTGGCACCAAAATTTACGGTCCACAAGGTGAAAAGTTCGATTCCTTCGGGGGTCAACATTTTTTTATTTTTGTGTGGACCCGGAAAATAACTTTCTTAGGCTCATTTGAGGTCCAGAAAGTGGTTTTTTGGAAGTTTGGAAAAAAAATTTTTTTGAAAATTTTTTCGATTTTCAGTTTTTTCAGACAAAATGAGAAAAAATATTTCTACGTCACAAAATGTCTGAATATACTGAAAAAAATTCAAGCTGTCTCCCAGGAAATTAAAAATGGGTACCCCTCACAAATTTTTTTAATTTCCTGTGTTTTTAGAACAAAAAACATAGAAAATAGAGAGGTTTTATGATGAGCAATGACACATCTGGTTCATAAAATTTGGAGAAGAATGAGCAATTTTTCGGAACATCGGAACATCTGGATTTCAAATTTTTTCAAAATTTTGAAAATATTCGAAAATTAAGATTTTTGCAAAAAAAATTTAAAGAGATTTTTGACAATTTCTTGTTATTTAGCAACTTCCTAGGTTTAAAAAACGTCGAAATTTTTAAAAAATTAACTTTAAACTTGAAAAAAACATTAAAAACCGTTGAAAACGTCATTTTTCAAAAAAGTGTGCCAGATGGCTCAGTGGGTTTTGGCACCGAAATTCACGGTCCGCAAGGTCAAAAGTTCGAGTCCTTCTGTGGTCAAAATTTTTTTAGGTCCAGAAAATGGAATTTTCAAAAATAAATCCAATATATATTTTTTCCAAATTTTCGAAAATTTCAAAATTATCAAAAATGGATCGTGTTTAGACTCATTTTGAAGGAAATGTTGTCCTGAATTCAAGTTTTTCCATTAATTTGATTAAAATCCTAATCTTAACTATTTCTCAAGGTCTTAGCACATCTGGAGACAATAAAGCGAGAGACTACATCCTCTTTGAGAGACGCAGAGCAACAATTGGGGTGGCAACGACCTCCAAAACTATCTGACACATTTGATGGATGGGACAGTGGAGAGTATTGATTTTCTGGAGAGTGGCAGAGAAAAGGGATGGAAAGGCCGCCAGAATATTTATTCGTATTTTCCGAGGCTATGTGTGCGGAGGTTGTCTATTGATTTTCCATATATTGTGAGTTTTAGAACTTTCTAGAATAGAAAAATATGAAATCCCTGTTTTTCAGATAGTCTCAACTACGACTTCGTGTGTAGAAGTCTACGTTTCCCATTGATTTTTCCTAGAAATGTGAGTTTTTTGTTAAAAAATCGAAAATCAAAGTTATTTTTTTCAGATAACCCCTTTCTTTATGGCCACTTTGTGCATGGAGGTTTACAATTTTTTGAAACTGATTTTTCTGGAAATGTGAGTTTTTTTTTGTTTAATTTTTCGAATTTTAATTCAAAAAATTCTGATTTCTAGGCATTCACTTTTTGCAGAGGAAGACCATTTTATTTGTGAATAATACAAAAGCAGGATTAATCCAAGATTAGCGCATGTTGTTTTTGTTTCCAATAAAACTGATTCTTATATATTTTTTAAGTTTTCTCAAGAAAAAAGTCACTAATTTAAGGAAAAATGCAAGCGCGCCCCATGGCTAACAGCGTTCCAATTAGGGACAGTTCGAATCCGACACAGTTCGAATTTCGCACAGTTCGATTCTGCTCTTGTTCTGTTTTGACACATGTTCGATTTAGGAAGCGTTCGAATTCGTCGTACCCCCCAACTTGTGGATACAGTACCTTCAAAAGCCAGCTAGCCGCGAATCAAAGTATTCATTTTTTCCTGTTTTTCACATAAATGGTGCAAATTTTCGTATTCTCTAGATGAGGTTGCATCTCTCCGACTATCCAATAATCTGATAGAGCTCAGTCGGGACTATAAGTAGGTGAGGGAGAACGGTCCCGCTGAAGCTGCTCAGGTCTGACTTGACTGCAGGTCAAAAATGAAAAAAACCTCATGTTCCTGAAAAAATGGACTGGAGGGATACTTTGAATTGCCACTAGCTGGCTTTTGGAGGGATGGTACCCACGAGTTACATGAACATTGCCAACATGTTGTGGATCACGACGGTGCATATTGCTAATTCTGGATTATTCTTGTGTTTGTGGGTGTTTTATATGCGAAAACAGGTTTGAGACCATTTTTGAGGTCTTAAACCATCAAAAACGGTAAAAACAAGCCAAAAAAGACCATTTTCGAAAAAGTGTCCCAAATGGCTCAGTGAGTTTTGGCACCGAAATTTACGGTCCACAAGGCCAAGGGTTCGATTCCTTATGGGGTCTAAATTTTTTTATTTTTGTGTGGACCTCGGAAAACTAGTTTGAGCACTTTGAGAATACCTAGAAATTTCAAATTTTTGAAAAAATTACAAAAAAAAATATTTTTCTCAATTTTTCGAAAATTTCAAAGTTATCAAAAATGGGTCGTGTTTGGGCTCATTTTGAAGGGAATCCGATGCTGAACTAATAAAAAAAATGGACAGTTACTTTCCTGTCAACCTAATAAGACAACGTTTTTCGAGGTTCAATTCACTCAGGTGTTAGAATTTTTGGTTGGGTTTCATGTTCCAGTTTTGCGTAATCTGTAAAATTTGTAGTTCTGATTTTTTGACGTTCTGAGTTTTCTTGAAGTCTTCAAATTTCGATATAAGTTTCGTTTTCGTTGTTTTCGTTGTTTCGAATTTGCAATCTTTCTAGAAAAATTCTGGAAAACTTTTGCCAGTTCTATTTATTTTATAAAAGACACCCGGTTAGTTTCTAATTTCTAGGTACTTTTATAATGTGCATTCTAGTTTTCCAAGGTCCACACAAAAATAAAAAAGTTTCGATCCCCAGAAGGAATTGAACTTTGGCCTGGTGGACGGTAAAATTTGGTGGCAAAACCCACTAAGCCATTTAGCACACTTTTTTGAAAAATGCGTTTTTGACCGTTTTTCATTGTTCCTGGGAGTTTTTATGCTATTTTTTGCAGTTTTAAGGCATTTTTTGTGTTTAACATTGCCAGGAATGATCAAAACTCGCAAAAATTTTTTTTTGAAAAACAATTCGAAAAAGTTTGTTTTCCAAATTTTTGAAAATCTAATTTTTACATCTCAAGTGGGTCCAAAACTATCATTTTTGAGGTCCACACAAAAATAAAAAAGTTTTGAATCCAGATGGAATCGAACTTTTAGCCTTGTGGACCGTAAATTTCGGTGCCAAAACCCACTGAGCCATCTGGCACACTTTTTTGAAAAATGCGTTTTTGACGGTTTCTAACAATATAGTATTGACAGTCAGATTTTCAGAACAAACATTTTTCGAAAATTCCATTATCTATACCTCAAGTGAGCCTTCAAATCGTATTTACTGGGTCCACACGAAAATAAAAAAGTTTTGATTTTGAAAGGTTTGTTTGGCGGTTGAAATACTTTTTTTGCATTTTTTTTGACATTTTTTTCAATGATCATGATTTTCAGATAAAGAAGGTGACAGGGGTCATGTTCATGTGGGCTGAGACAGCGAGGCAAGGAATTTCGGGGTGAACTTCCTCAAGCACTTTCACATTAAGGAGTTCCGCAACAAGCACAAAAATTTGTTCGATTTTGTAAGTTTTCAAAAAGTCTAAAAATTCATAAATACCTTTTTCCTCAAGGACGTCGCCACGGAAGTCAAGAAGGACCCGAAAAAAGTGGCCAAGAAAAAAGCTGAAAAGAAGAAGGCGGAAGCTGAGAAGAAGAGGTGAGTTCCCTATCAATTTTTTTTTCATTTTTCCAAATTGTACTTTTCAGAATGTTGATGACTGCCGAATCCTCAACTGCCTTCTTAACTTCCTTTATCACATAATAATTTTTATCGAAACATTATATAGTACTTAACGCGACATAAAAACTTTCAAACCAGAGATATCTTGACAATTGTTTTATTGAACAACAACTATGTGACTGGGTATATAATTTTAAGAAACTTCTTGAACTGACCTCCTTTCCGGGGGCGGGCGGTCTTGAGAACTTATCATTGTTGCCAGCTCGGAAGAATTCTTCTTTCAAGTCTTCAATATGTCTCAATTTTCTCCTATCAATATGTGGCTCGCATTTATTGATTTTGCCTCATGGGCCGGACAGAAGAGGGGGGGGGGGCGGAAGCCAGATGAAGAGGATATGGTAAAAGGCGAAGTCATTGTCTTGGATAGAGATGCAGAGGAAGTTGCTCCACCAAAGGATGCTGATGATGGAGATTGTGATGAAAAATTCATAGTTGTTGATTGTAGTCGTCCGATTCTCGTCGAAAAAAAAAATAAGAATTCGATTCAAGGTGACTAAAATCTTCCGGAAACCTTGAATATTCCAAAATTTCAGGACCCAGTGAACCAGTTTTTTTTTTCAATCCGGATGATATTGGATATACAGAAGATATGGAAATTCAAAAGATTTGATTTAAATTAACAAAGTTAAATTAATTTAAACTCTGTTTTCTCATCAATGCATTTTCTGGTTTTCTGGTGAAATCGCAACATTAACTTGACAAGATCGAAAAGATGAAATTTAGCCATTTTAGTACTTTTTAATTAGGAAAACTAGTTTAAAACCCAAAACCGGCCCAAAACAGTCAAAAATTACCCATTTCAAAAAAGCGTGTCAATTGGCTCAGTGAGTTTTGGCACCAAAATTTTAAGGTCCACAAGGTCAAAAGTTCGATTCCTCCTAGGGTTGAAATTTTTTGACTTTTGTGTGCACCAAAAAAAGACTAGTTTTCATACTATAAAAAACCTAAAAAGGCCAAAAAAACTTTTTTTTTCGAATTTTTTCCGTAAGAAAAATCTGAAATTGTTTTGCTCTGAAAATGTTTTTTGGGTGTTTTATATGCGAAAACAGGTTTGAGACCATTTTTGAGGTCTTAAACCATCAAAAACGGTAAAAACAAGCCAAAAAAGACCATTTTCAAAAAAGTGTTCCAAGTGGCTCAGTGGGTTTTGGCACCGAAATTTACGGTCCACAAGGCCAAAAGTTCGATTCCATCTGGATTCAAAATTTTTTTATTTTTGTGTGGACCTCAAAAATGATAGTTTTGGACTCACTTGAGATGTAGAAATTAGATTTTCAAAAATTTGGAAAACAAAGTTTTTCGAAATGTTTTTCAAAAAAAAATTTTTGCGAGTTTTGATCATTCCTGGCAATGTTAAACACAAAAAATGCCTTAAAACTGCAAAAAATAGCATAAAAACTCCCAGGAACAATGAAAAACGGTCAAAAACGCATTTTTAAAAAAAGTGTGTCAAATGGCTCAGTGGGCTTTGCCACCGAAAATTTAAGGTCCACAGGGCCAAGGGTTCGATTCCTTATGGGGTCAAAACTTTTTTATTTTTGTGATGACCTCGGGAATCTATTTTGACCACTTTGAAAATACCTAGAAATTCTAAATTTTTGAAAAAAAATCCAAAAATATATATTTTTTTCAATTTTTTGAAATTTTCAAAGTTATCAAAAATGGGTCGTGTTTAGACTTATTTTAAAGGGAATTCGATGCTGAATTCGAATTTCTCATTTGCATTCATGAAAATCGTATTCTTATCTAGTAAACCCAATCTCCCAAAGTCCCAAAGCACCTGGAGACAACAAGGCGAAAGAGTATACCCTCCTTGAGAGACGCAGAGCAACAATTGGGGTGACAACGACCTCCAAAACTATCGGACACATTTGATGGATGGGACAGTGAGAGAGTATTGATTTTCTGGAGAGAGGCAGAGAAAGAGAGAGAGGAAAAGATGAAATGAGAAACTAGACCCCTCATTTGTACTTTCCAAGGCTATGTGTATGGTTGTCTATTGATTTTCCATTTTTTGTGAGTTTTCTTTCGAATGCTAGAAATTTCTAGGAAATGAAATCTTCTTATTTTCAGATAGTCCTTACCATGACTTCGTGTGTAGAAGTCTCCGTTTTATATTTTTTCGAAAAGTAAGGTTTTTTTTTCAAATTTTCAAAATGAGAATTTCATTTTTTCAGGTATTCTGATAAATTCATCAGTGATAAGGATTAGACAGGCAGCAATCCAATGGATGAATATCCAATGGATGAAAACCGAAGCGTTCAACCAGATCCTCACCAAGAAGCGGGCGAGCTGGAAATTAACAATGATCAAACTGAGATCGCCAATCCACATGATGCACCAATGAATTAAAGTCTTCATGGGCAATTGGAAGAAAACGTGGCTGATGAGGAGACAGGCTTGAACCCCCAGATAAATGGAGAACAAATATTTAATTATTTCGATGAAGTCCCAGAGCAGCAGAATGATCAGATAAATGAAAAAATGCCACCAAGCGTCCGCCCAGTCAACGGTGAAATGGAAATTCCAGTGAAAGTGGAGTCGATCGAGGAAGAAGAGAATAATATGCAACTAATCGTGTTCGATGTTATTCAAGAGGATGTACCTCAGGATACTGAAGCTAGAGTATGATGTTCCGCCCAAACTTGAATATATTAATTGCTCATATTTGCACATTATTTTTCGTTATTTTTTTTGCAATTAAATGAAGTGAAGTTTTTTCAAATTTTATTGTTTTTGCAAATGCTTTACTTGCCTTTTACATTGAAGATGATCGAAAAGATGTGTAAAAGATTGAAAATTTGATCATTTTGGCATTAAACCACTCAAAATGACGTTAAAACCATCGAAAACGGTCCAAAATGGCCAAAAATAGTGATTTTCAAAAAATGTGTCAAGTGGCTCAGTGGGTTTTGGCACCAAAACTTACGCTCCACAAGACCAAATGTTCGATTCCTTATGGGGTCAAAATTTTTTTTATTCCTTTGTGGACCTAGAAAATACGGTTTGAAGGCTCACTTGAAATCCAGAAAATGGAATTTTCAAAAAATATCAAAAACATTTTTTTTCGAAAAAATGTTTGGACCTAAAACGTCTGTTTTGACATTATAAACTATGAGAAATCGATTGAAATCACCTCGGAGCCCTAAAAACCACAAAAAAGCTATTAAATGACATTTTTCAAAAACTGTCCCAAATGGCTTAGTGGGTTTTGCCACTGAAAATTTACGGTCCACAAGACCAAGGGTTCGATTCCTTATGGGGTCAAAATTTTTTTATTTTTGTGATAACCTCGGAAAACTATTTTGAGCACTTTGAAAATACCTAGAAATTCTAAATTTTTGAAAAAAAATCCAAAAAAAATTTTTTTTCAATTTTTCGAAAATTTCAAAGTGATAAAAAATGGGTCGTGTTTAGACTTATTTTAAAGGGAATTCGATGCTGAATTCGAATTTTTAACTGAAATTGCTCCTAACTATTTGTCAAAGTCACAAAATACCCCTGGAGACAATACGGCGAGAGAGTAGATCCTCCTTGAGAGACGCAGAGCAACCTTTAAGGGTCACAAACGACCTCCAAAACTATCTGACACCATTCGATGAATGGGACAGCGAGAGAGTATTGATTTTCCGGAGAGAGGCAGAGAAAAGGGATGGAAAGGCCGCCAGAATATTTATTCGTATTTTCCGAGGCTATGTGTATGGTTGTCTATTGATTTTCCATATATTGTGAGTTTTTTTTTCTTTTCTGGTATTCTAGAATTTTCTAGAATAGGAAAAGTATAAAATCCTTTATTTTCAGATAACCTCAACTATGATTTCGTGTGTAGAAGTCTACGTTTCCCATTGATTTTTCCTAGAAATGTGAGTTTTTCGTTTTTAATGTCTAAAATCGAAATTTTGTGTTTCAGATGTCCCTCCCTTGGTCACTTTGTGCATAGAAGAACACTGACGAACTTCGATTGGATTCAATCGAACAATGGGGTTCATGGAGGAAGCGGAAACGACGATTCAAATGCCAAACAGTGAGGATCTCAACGACTCGGAAGGATCTGGAAATACGGGATCGATCGGAATCCAGACAAAAAGAAGAACATCGAATATGTCGATTGGGAGCAATTGGATGAAAACCTGTATATGGCGCAGGTCGACGAGAGGCAAATCCAATCCAGAAGACGAGAAAACCACCGTCGTCGTCTTCAAGCTCTTCGTGGCGAAGGAACTTTGGTAGATCCAATCTTCATTGTGTTGTCGGACACCGAAGACGAGGAAGTCATCGTATTGGATAGTGATGCAGAGGAAGTTGATCCACCAGAGTCTGATGAAGAATTCATAGTTTTTGATTGATTTCTTTTTTCGAATCTCTTCTTTATCCATGTATTTACTGTCATCTCAATTTATTTAAATTTTTTCTCAGTGTTGATTTTGATCCTTTTCCTTACATGAATTTTTTTCTTTGAATATTTAACACATTGACTAGAATTGAAGCAAAAAGGTTGAGAAAGTAGATGTTTCCGTCGTTTTTTTTTGACATTTTTAAGCTTCAAACCCTCTAAAATATCATCAAAAACGCTAAAAATTATGATTTTTTAAAAAGTGTGCCGCGTGGCTCAGCGGGTTTTCGCACCAAAATTGTATGGTCCACAAGGCCAAACGTTCAATTCCTCCAGGGGTAAAATTCTTCCCTTTTTGTGTGAACTTTAAAAATACCAGTTTTAGGCTCCCTCGAGGTCCAGAAAGTGGAATGCTCAAAAAAATTGTGTCGAAAATACCTTTTTTGACATTTTAAACGATTTGAAATTGTTTGAAAATATTAAAAGCAACTAGAAACCATCAGAAACGATTTAAAACAGTCAAAAATGACCATTTTCAAAAAAGTGTCCCAAATGGCTCAGTGAGTTTTGGCACCGAAATTTACGGTCCACAAGGCCAAGGGTTCGATTCCTTATGGGGTCAAAACTTTTTTATTTTTGTGTGGACCTCGAAAAACTAGTTTGAGCACTTTGAAAATACCTAGAAATTCTAAATTTTTGAAAAATTACAAAAAAAAATATTTTTCTCAATTTTTCGAAAATTTCAAATTTATCAAAAATGGGTCGTGTTTAGGTTCATTTTGAAGGGAATTTGATGCTGAATTCGAATTTTGAATTTAAATTTATGAAAATTTTAATCTTTTCTAGTCATCCCCTATCTCTCAAGGTCCCAAAACACATCTTGACATTTTAAACGATTTGAAATTGTTTGAAAATATTAAAAGCAACTAGAAACCATCAGAAACGATTTAAAACAGTCAAAAATGACCATTTTCAAAAAAGTGTCCCAAATGGCTCAGTGAGTTTTGGCACCGAAATTTACGGTCCACAAGGCCAAGGGTTCGATTCCTTATGGGGTCAAAACTTTTTTATTTTTGTGTGGACCTCGAAAAACTAGTTTGAGCACTTTGAAAATACCTAGAAATTCTAAATTTTTGAAAAAATTACAAAAAAAAATATTTTTCTCAATTTTTCGAAAATTTCAAATTTATCAAAAATGGGTCGTGTTTAGGTTCATTTTGAAGGGAATTTGATGCTGAATTCGAATTTTGAATTTAAATTTATGAAAATTTTAATCTTTTCTAGTCATCCCCTATCTCTCAAGGTCCCAAAACACATCTTGACATTTTAAACGATTTGAAATTGTTTGAAAATATTAAAAGCAACTAGAAACCATCAGAAACGATTTAAAACAGTCAAAAATGACCATTTTCAAAAAAGTGTCCCAAATGGCTCAGTGAGTTTTGGCACCGAAATTTACGGTCCACAAGGCCAAGGGTTCGATTCCTTATGGGGTCAAAACTTTTTTATTTTTGTGTGGACCTCGAAAAACTAGTTTGAGCACTTTGAAAATACCTAGAAATTCTAAATTTTTGAAAAAATTACAAAAAAAAATATTTTTCTCAATTTTTCGAAAATTTCAAATTTATCAAAAATGGGTCGTGTTTAGGTTCATTTTGAAGGGAATTTGATGCTGAATTCGAATTTTGAATTTAAATTTATGAAAATTTTAATCTTTTCTAGTCATCCCCTATCTCTCAAGGTCCCAAAACACATCTGGAGACAATGGGCCAGAAGCAATTTTTGAACATCGGAACATCTGGATTTCAATTTTTCGATTTTTGAAAATTCGAAAAATAACATTTTTGGCTAAAAAATTTTAAAAGAAATTTTCGACAATTTCTTAGTATCTAGGCAGTTTCTAGGTTTAAAAAATGTAGAAATTTTCAAAAAATCAATAAAAAACTCGAAAAAACCACTATAAAGCGATGAAAATGACAATTTTCAAAAAAGTGTTCAAGATGGCTTAGTGGGTTTTAACACCGAAATTTACGGTCCAGAAGGTCAAAAGTTCAATTCCTCCAGCAGTCAAAATTTTTTTATTTTTGTGATGACCTCGAAAAACTAGTTTGAGCACTTTGAAAATACCTAGAATTTCTAAATTTTTGAAATAAATTCAAAAAAAAATTTTTCTCAATTTTTCAAAAATTTCAAATTTATCAAAAATGGGTCGTGTTTGGGCTCATTTTGAAGGGAATTTGATGCTGAATTCGAATTTTGAACTTAAATTTATGAAATTTTTAATCTTTTCTAGTCATCCCCTATATTTCAAGGTCCCAAAACACATCTGGAGACAATGGGCCAGAAAGTACATCCTCCTTGAGAGACGTAGAGAAACTTTGAAGGGTGATAACGACCTCCAAAACTATCAAACACCATTTGATGGATGGGACAGCGAGAGAGTATTGATTTTCAGGAGAGAGGCAGAGAAAAAAAGGAAGAGAGGAAAAAGGTCGACCGGGTTCCTAGACAATTTTATTTTTATTTTCCGAGGCTATGTGAATGAATGTCTATTGATTTTCCATTTTTTGTGAGTTTTCTTTCGAATTCTAGAAATTTCTAGGAAATGAAATCTTCTTATTTTCAGATAGTCCTTACCATGACTTCGTGTGTAGAAGTCTCCGTTTTATATTTTTTCGAAAAGTAAGGTTTTTTTTCAAATTTTCAAAATGAGAATTTCATTTTTTCAGGTATTCTGATAAATTCATCAGTGATAAGGATTAGACAGGCAGCAATACAGGTAATTTTTTGAGTTTTGAAGGCGAAAAAAAGGAAAACTCATTTTTCCGGAAATTCCAAAAATTCCTAATTTCCTGAATTTCTGAATTTTTGAACTTCTGAATTTCTGAACTTCTGAATTTCTGAATTTCCAAAAAACTCCAAAAAATTAAAAAAATCTGAAAATCAAAAAAAAAACTCCGAAAGTTGCGAAAATTCATAAAAATTTGAAAAATCGAAAACTTCAGAAATCAGATAAATTTTGAAAAAAAAGTTTGAAAAATTAAAAAAATCTAAAAAACCCAAAAGTTCAACGAATCTTGAAAAAATTGGAAAATTCATTTTTCCGGAATTTCTAAAAATTCCAAAACAAACTTCGAAAAATGAACAATTCTGAAAACAGATAAATTCTCGAAAAAATGTTTTGAAAATCCAAAATTTCATATAATCTCGAAAGTTCGAAAATTTCCGAAACCCCTATATGAACAGCAAGATAAATACCGTAAACACTCTTATAGAACACCACTCGAATCGTCAAATTTGAGCCCATGTATCTCATTTTCTGTGAGAGATATCAAAAAGTGATCAACTGATAACATGTTGCTGATATCATGATAAACATTTTATTAGTTGACAACTTGTTGATATCTTTCAAAAGAAGTGAGATATATAGGCTCAAAGTAGACGATCCGGTGGCGTTCTATTAGAGTGTTTACGTTAGGTTGAAGCGCCCAAATTTGCTGTTGAAAAAAAATATAAATCTAAACTTTTACAGCAAAAATCGAGGTCAACAAAGATGTTTCTCTAAAAATTGAACAAAACTTGTTTAATGGAACGATGAATTCCAGTTATTCCGTTCATCCGTCCAATTTCACGTTCAGAAGCTGACGTTTGTGAAATTGCAAAATGCGACTTGAAGAAACTCAAAACAAACTGGATTTTAGCAAATATTGATATTCTTGGCTTTTGAAGGTATTTGATGAAATATCAGGTTGTTCCGAAAGTTTTTTACATTTTTTGACATTTTTTCAACACAAATTTATTCAACGTATGAAATATTTCAGTGAGTAATATATTCAGTATTATGGTTCATCACAACCTGCCAACGTTTTGCTAGATGATCTAGATCTTTTTTTTTTAATTTAAAGGAAAAAGAAAAACTTGTATAAATAAAAGATACATAATCTTTTTAAAATGAAAATGGACACTTAGCAAGAAGACACTGGTTTTAATGAACGAAATAGAGATGAGGAATAATATTCTACGCTTTTCATTGCTAATTCTAAAATTCGAAGTATATTTTTGTGTATTAGTCATAGAAAGAGATGAAAAAGACGAGTTTTTTATTGCTAAGTGTTAGTTGTTGTAACATGAAAAAGATGATAGAAAATTATTTTGTTCTGTTGATTTTTTTTCATTGTTGATAAAAATTTATGTAAATTATCAGACTTGAGCATTATCAGAATTTGAATTAATACAGAAATTACATTTTTGTTGTTAAAAAAAATTAATGAATTGCGAACGAAGAATAATAATTCAATTGAAAACAAGTGATTTTTTGAGAAGCTCTGCAAGAATTTCATTGTCCATTCCCTTGGGATCCTCTGAAATAACTGAACTAATATCCGCTTTTGACTTGATCTGATTAAGACACATTTTCTGAAAATATCAATTTTTCAGATTAAAATTATCTTCTGAACACTCACTTTCAGTTCTTCCAACCTGTAACTTCCAGCCATTTCCAACTTTTCTTTCAATCCCTGTTTTGATTCCTTGACCAAAAATTCTTCACATTTTTTGACAATTTTAGGAGTGTCGAACATATCAGCCACTGATAAAATTCCTTGGACAGTATCATCTGAAATTGCTCTTTTCAAAATAAACGGTAAGTACAGTAACACACCATCAATTCTATTTTCTAGATGTAGAACTTCAAGATAGTATTGGAAGTCTTGAGGATTGACATCTTTTAATTCGATTTCTGATTTCTCAGATTCTTGAAATCTTCCCAAAAATAAAGTAGCAAAATATGGAGAATGAGAGGAGAGGAACTGAAAAAGTTGAATAGATGAAAAACAAAAACTGAAAAAATGACTCACCAACTTCGAAATATAGAATTTCCGCTCTTTTACTTTCAATGTGACATCGGAGAATTGTTTCATGTCCTCCCCAAAGCTTCTTAATTCTTCTCTCGGAAAGCCAACCATTTTGTTTATTTTCACATGAACTTCCACTTCCAATTTTCCATCATCCAGATATTCATCTTCCAAAGTTCTCCATTTAATAAAATAGAGCCAACCCCAATTATCCCAGTCATCCCCATTATTTTTGAATAAATCACTCCCAGAATTTGAATGATTTTTTTCCCGGTTTTTCGAGAATATTCTCAGGATAGAATTAGTGTGAATTTCTTGATTTTCCGTCACATTTGTGTATAAATACATTCCGAGGTGTTCGTTTCTTTTTTCAATATTTATTTTCCTGCAATTGAATTGACATACAAATATAATTTAAAAAATGAGCAATTAGACCTACCATTTAACTCCAAAATTTTCTTTTATTGGACTATAGAGAGATTGATCTTGCTCGAGTTTCTCAACATCAGTGAATATATGTTTCAGAGTGAATTCTCTTTCAGTCATCTGAAAAAAAAATTTTCTGGAAAAGCTGAAAATTGAGAAAAAATGTATATGAAAAAGAGCGAAACTGATAATATCAATGTTAAACGTAGAAAGTAGAAAGAGAACTGTGTAACCAAAAAGTGGGGGAAGGGAGTGATAAGAAATTCAGTGATTAGCAATTTTTGTGCACAACTTATTCAAAAAAAGTTCAAAATTAGATACTTTGAGACAGTTTTTGAGAATCATAGGTAAATTTTTAAATCAGAAATCATGCATTTTGAAGTTTCAGTTTTCCGATTTTGATTTATGTACGAAGAAAGATTGATATTTCAGAAAATAATAAGTTTTTAGTGCCCAGTTTTCTGATAATTCTTGAATTGATAAGATGAAAATGAGGTCTTTTGAAATTGAAAAAAAAAGAAAATTGAAAAGAGAAGAGACAAACAATTTAAGAGTTAGCAAGGAAAACGGGAAATTTCAACACTGATAAGAATAAAATTGATTTGATTTCATGACGTATTTGAACGAAAAGAAGTGAGAATGGATTTTTTAAAATAATTGTTTAAAAAGAGTTCTAGCATACCATATTACCCCAAGTTTTAAACTTTTGGGTGACTTTGGTTTGTAAGTAGCATATGATTGCAGTTTTGTTCTTTTTTGAGCTTCATTTCTGATTTTGAAGGTTCCAAGCTTCAATACGAGCCTAAACATGCCTAGATTTGAGAAAACTTGAAAAAAAATCAAGAATTTCGATATTTTCACAGGTGGATCGCGAGGAACGTTATATGGGATCGCGCGGTGCCGTATATGCTCGCAATACGAAACATTTAGGGGCGCATCGTGCGAGCATATAGGATTCACGCGCCGACTAAAGCATATAAGATCCACGCCGCCGCCCAGCAATTCCTCCCCTCCCCCAGGTCCTAATATTCTCTGTGAACTGAAAATAGTGTTTAAAATTCAGAAATTCAGAAATTCAGAAATTCAGAAATTCGGAAATTCAGAAATTCAGAAATTCAAAAATTCAGAAATTCAGAAATTCGGAAATTCAGAAATTCAGAAATTCAGAAATTCAGAAATTCAGAAATTCAAAAATTCAGAAATTCAGAAATTCGGAAATTCAGAAATTCAGAAATTCAGAAATTCAGAAATTCAGAAATTCAAAAATTCTGAATTTCTGAACTTCTGAATTTCCTGGAATTTCTGAATTT